GCGATGGGGCTTTGATGCATTCAGAATGGATTGCGTTTGCAGGACTTATATCAATGAGATAGCTGAGCAATATGCTCGCTTACGGCCATACCACGTTGAAAGCACGCCATCCCGTCCGATCTGGCAAGTTAAGCAACGTTGGGCCTGGTTAGTACTTGGATCGGAGACGGCTTGGGAATCCCAGGTGTCGTAAGCTTTTGCCTCTTCGGACATTCAATATATGGGCTCAGTGGCGATGGGGCTTTGATGCATTCAGAATGGATTGCGTTTGCAGGACTTATATCAATGAGATAGCTGAGCAATATGCTCGCTTACGGCCATACCACGTTGAAAGCACGCCATCCCGTCCGATCTGGCAAGTTAAGCAACGTTGGGCCTGGTTAGTACTTGGATCGGAGACGGCTTGGGAATCCCAGGTGTCGTAAGCTTTTGCCTCTTCGGACATTCAATATATGGGCTCAGTGGCGATGGGGCTTTGATGCATTCAGAATGGATTGCGTTTGCAGGACTTATATCAATGAGATAGCTGAGCAATATGCTCGCTTACGGCCATACCACGTTGAAAGCACGCCATCCCGTCCGATCTGGCAAGTTAAGCAACGTTGGGCCTGGTTAGTACTTGGATCGGAGACGGCTTGGGAATCCCAGGTGTCGTAAGCTTTTGCCTCTTCGGACATTCAATATATGGGCTCAGTGGCGATGGGGCTTTGATGCATTCAGAATGGATTGCGTTTGCAGAGTACTCTGCGTTGATACCACTGCTTAATATGCTCGCTTACGGCCATACCACGTTGAAAGCACGCCATCCCGTCCGATCTGGCAAGTTAAGCAACGTTGGGCCTGGTTAGTACTTGGATCGGAGACGGCTTGGGAATCCCAGGTGTCGTAAGCTTTTGCCTCTTCGGACATTCAATATATGGGCTCAGTGGCGATGGGGCTTTGATGCATTCAGAATGGATTGCGTTTGCAGGACTTATATCAATGAGATAGCTGAGCAATATGCTCGCTTACGGCCATACCACGTTGAAAGCACGCCATCCCGTCCGATCTGGCAAGTTAAGCAACGTTGGGCCTGGTTAGTACTTGGATCGGAGACGGCTTGGGAATCCCAGGTGTCGTAAGCTTTTGCCTCTTCGGACATTCAATATATGGGCTCAGTGGCGATGGGGCTTTGATGCATTCAGAATGGATTGCGTTTGCAGGACTTATATCAATGAGATAGCTGAGCAATATGCTCGCTTACGGCCATACCACGTTGAAAGCACGCCATCCCGTCCGATCTGGCAAGTTAAGCAACGTTGGGCCTGGTTAGTACTTGGATCGGAGACGGCTTGGGAATCCCAGGTGTCGTAAGCTTTTGCCTCTTCGGACATTCAATATATGGGCTCAGTGGCGATGGGGCTTTGATGCATTCAGAATGGATTGCGTTTGCAGGACTTATATCGATGAGATAGCTGAGCAATATGCTCGCTTACGGCCATACCACGTTGAAAGCACGCCATCCCGTCCGATCTGGCAAGTTAAGCAACGTTGGGCCTGGTTAGTACTTGGATCGGAGACGGCTTGGGAATTATTAGAATCGTTTATCAATATAATAAACACCTATCCACAAATATATTTAATTATAACAAATTTCTCATTAGTCTCCAAAACCTCGATATTAATAACATGCCTTGTGACTGCAATTCATACAAACAATTTGTAAATCCCAATTTCAACCATGTAGTAACAGGAGATATTAATATTTTTGAAAGAGAACCTATTTATGAGATACTAAACAAAGGAACAAAATTCCGTTATTCCCCTAACCTTAGTCCAAAACAGATTTACGATTTATGGATTGATTTACTTAAGACAATCACTAACAAACATAAAACTAGACATTCCTTATCTGATACAATATCCAGCAAAATATTAGAAATACTAACCCAGTCCTTTGTCAAAATTAAACATAAATTGTTATACCCTAGAAATAAAAACTTAACCCCTCCTTTTTTTAATATCAGACAATTACAAAAATTCTTTATTTTTTGCCCATTAGATAAAGCTAGCTCTAATTATGGTATTATTTGTAAAAAGCTATATCTTTCCATTTTAACTAAAGAAATGAATCTTCAAAGAGACGTACAAGACACACTAGTATACGATTATTTGGGTAAAATTAATGTTCAAGATATCATTAGTAGACATAACAGCCTAGCCATTAATCTTCACCTAAAACCAAATACTGACGGAATTATTCCTAACATCTATTGCATCCCTAAACTTCATAAAAATCCAATAAAATTTAGATTTATAACTGGTGCAAGAAACAGCAGTATCAAGCCTTTATCAGAAGAACTTATGCGCATTTTATGTTTTATGAAAACACATTTTAAAAATTATATAAATATAGTATACAATAACAAAAATTGCTTACCAACGTACTGGTCCATCAATGACATAAATATCTCATACATTCTTAGTAACATAGTAGACACTAATTTGCAACTCTATTCCGCAGACTTCACAAACATGTTTACTAATATTCCACATGATGTTATCTTAAAAAACATAAACGCTATACTCAAAATATGTTTTAAGAATAGTAATAGTAGGTACATTGTTAGCAAAAACAAAAGTTTACATTACTCTAATACACCTCTGAATGGAACTAATTTTAGAAATTATAAAATAGAAGATATAATGTATCTCACTCAATTCCTCCTAGAAAACAGCTACTGTAAAGTCGGACACCACATTTTCAAACAAAAAATGGGTGTCCCACAAGGAAGCAGTGTTAGGCCAATTTTAGCAGATTTGACTTTGTCATATATGGAATATCCTTGTGCTTCAACTCATAAAAAATCTCATAAACTTTTCATACCTTTTAGGTACATGGATGATTTATTGATCATACACAACATGGAGCAATCACAAATACAAGCAATATTACAAATTACTTATAAAAATATTCTCGAACTGAAAAGCACCAACCGTAGCAATTTCGAATGTGATTTTCTGGATTTAAAAATAAGTATAGTTGAAGGCAGAATTATCACAACTCAATATAACAAAACGGACAGCTTCAACTTCAAAGTTAACAAATTTACTCATTCAGGATCACATATCAGTCTGAATGTCAAAATTGCAATTATTTACAGTGAGATTTTGAGAATTTATAGGACTTGTACTAAATTTGAAAACTTTGTTGAAAGACTAGAATTACTTATAGATCAACTTTTAACACTACAGTACACTCCCAACATCATTTCTAATGCCATGATCAAATGTTTGAATAAAAATAAATACATATCATACAAGTATTTGCAACTACAATCCTTCAAAACCACTAAAACCTTTGTTACTAAAATGCTCACAAAAATGCAACTCAGCTGATTTTTTTTTGACTTTTTTGATCTATTTGCTCTACCCCTCATGTATAAATACCCCCCTTAAACCAATCTGTCCCAGTGCACCACTCTTCCCTACTGACGAGCCTCGGGAGTGGTTAACACTATAGTAACCTGTATAGGGGTAGAGGCGAAACAGGCGTAAAGAACCCATCATATCAATATTTACTATTCAATATATGGGCTCAGTGGCGATGGGGCTTTGATGCATTCAGAATGGATTGCGTTTGCAGGACTTATATCAATGAGATAGCTGAGCAATATGCTCGCTTACGGCCATACCACGTTGAAAGCACGCCATCCCGTCCGATCTGGCAAGTTAAGCAACGTTGGGCCTGGTTAGTACTTGGATCGGAGACGGCTTGTGAATCCCAGGTGTCGTAAGCTTTTGCCTCTTCGGACATTCAATATATGGGCTCAGTGGCGATGGGGCTTTGATGCATTCAGAATGGATTGCGTTTGCAGGACTTATATCAATGAGATAGCTGAGCAATATGCTCGCTTACGGCCATACCACGTTGAAAGCACGCCATCCCGTCCGATCTGACAAGTTAAGCAACGTTGGGCCTGGTTAGTACTTGGATCGGAGACGGCTTGTGAATCCCAGGTGTCGTAAGCTTTTGCCTCTTCGGACATTCAATATATGGGCTCAGTGGCGATGGGGCTTTGATGCATTCAGAATGGATTGCGTTTGCAGGACTTATATCAATGAGATAGCTGAGCAATATGCTCGCTTACGGCCATACCGCGTTGAAAGCACGCCATCCCGTCCGATCTGGCAAGTTAAGCAACGTTGGGCCTGGTTAGTACTTGGATCGGAGACGGCTTGGGAATCCCAGGTGTCGTAAGCTTTTGCCTCTTCGGACATTCAATATATGGGCTCAGTGGCGATGGGGCTTTGATGCATTCAGAATGGATTGCGTTTGCAGGACTTATATCAATGAGATAGCTGAGCAATATGCTCGCTTACGGCCATACCACGTTGAAAGCACGCCATCCCGTCCGATCTGGCAAGTTAAGCAACGTTGGGCCTGGTTAGTACTTGGATCGGAGACGGCTTGTGAATCCCAGGTGTCGTAAGCTTTTGCCTCTTCGGACATTCAATATATGGGCTCAGTGGCGATGGGGCTTTGATGCATTCAGAATGGATTGCGTTTGCAGGACTTATATCAATGAGATAGCTGAGCAATATGCTCGCTTACGGCCATACCACGTTGAAAGCACGCCATCCCGTCCGATCTGACAAGTTAAGCAACGTTGGGCCTGGTTAGTACTTGGATCGGAGACGGCTTGTGAATCCCAGGTGTCGTAAGCTTTTGCCTCTTCGGACATTCAATATATGGGCTCAGTGGCGATGGGGCTTTGATGCATTCAGAATGGATTGCGTTTGCAGGACTTATATCAATGAGATAGCTGAGCAATATGCTCGCTTACGGCCATACCGCGTTGAAAGCACGCCATCCCGTCCGATCTGGCAAGTTAAGCAACGTTGGGCCTGGTTAGTACTTGGATCGGAGACGGCTTGGGAATCCCAGGTGTCGTAAGCTTTTGCCTCTTCGGACATTCAATATATGGGCTCAGTGGCGATGGGGCTTTGATGCATTCAGAATGGATTGCGTTTGCAGGACTTATATCAATGAGATAGCTGAGCAATATGCTCGCTTACGGCCATACCACGTTGAAAGCACGCCATCCCGTCCGATCTGGCAAGTTAAGCAACGTTGGGCCTGGTTAGTACTTGGATCGGAGACGGCTTGGGAATCCCAGGTGTCGTAAGCTTTTGCCTCTTCGGACATTCAATATATGGGCTCAGTGGCGATGGGGCTTTGATGCATTCAGAATGGATTGCGTTTGCAGGACTTATATCAATGAGATAGCTGAGCAATATGCTCGCTTACGGCCATACCACGTTGAAAGCACGCCATCCCGTCCGATCTGGCAAGTTAAGCAACGTTGGGCCTGGTTAGTACTTGGATCGGAGACGGCTTGGGAATCCCAGGTGTCGTAAGCTTTTGCCTCTTCGGACTTCAATATATGGGCTCAGTGGCGATGGGGCTTTGATGCATTCAGAATGGATTGCGTTTGCAGGACTTATATCAATGAGATAGCTGAGCAATATGCTCGCTTACGGCCATACCACGTTGAAAGCACGCCATCCCGTCCGATCTGGCAAGTTAAGCAACGTTGGGCCTGGTTAGTACTTGGATCGGAGACGGCTTGGGAATCCCAGGTGTCGTAAGCTTTTGCCTCTTCGGACATTCAATATATGGGCTCAGTGGCGATGGGGCTTTGATGCATTCAGAATGGATTGCGTTTGCAGGACTTATATCAATGAGATAGCTGAGCAATATGCTCGCTTACGGCCATACCACGTTGAAAGCACGCCATCCCGTCCGATCTGGCAAGTTAAGCAACGTTGGGCCTGGTTAGTACTTGGATCGGAGACGGCTTGGGAATCCCAGGTGTCGTAAGCTTTTGCCTCTTCGGACTTCAATATATGGGCTCAGTGGCGATGGGGCTTTGATGCATTCAGAATGGATTGCGTTTGCAGGACTTATATCAATGAGATAGCTGAGCAATATGCTCGCTTACGGCCATACCACGTTGAAAGCACGCCATCCCGTCCGATCTGACAAGTTAAGCAACGTTGGGCCTGGTTAGTACTTGGATCGGAGACGGCTTGGGAATCCCAGGTGTCGTAAGCTTTTGCCTCTTCGGACATTCAATATATGGGCTCAGTGGCGATGGGGCTTTGATGCATTCAGAATGGATTGCGTTTGCAGGACTTATATCAATGAGATAGCTGAGCAATATGCTCGCTTACGGCCATACCACGTTGAAAGCACGCCATCCCGTCCGATCTGGCAAGTTAAGCAACGTTGGGCCTGGTTAGTACTTGAATCGGAGACGGCTTGGGAATCCCAGGTGTCGTAAGCTTTTGCCTCTTCGGACATTCAATATATGGGCTCAGTGGCGATGGGGCTTTGATGCATTCAGAATGGATTGCGTTTGCAGGACTTATATCAATGAGATAGCTGAGCAATATGCTCGCTTACGGCCATACCACGTTGAAAGCACGCCATCCCGTCCGATCTGGCAAGTTAAGCAACGTTGGGCCTGGTTAGTACTTGGATCGGAGACGGCTTGTGAATCCCAGGTGTCGTAAGCTTTTGCCTCTTCGGACATTCAATATATGTGCTCAGTGGCGATGGGGCTTTGATGCATTCAGAATGGATTGCGTTTGCAGGACTTATATCAATGAGATAGCTGAGCAATATGCTCGCTTACGGCCATACCACGTTGAAAGCACGCCATCCCGTCCGATCTGGCAAGTTAAGCAACGTTGGGCCTGGTTAGTACTTGGATCGGAGACGGCTTGGGAATCCCAGGTGTCGTAAGCTTTTGCCTCTTCGGACATTCAATATATGGGCTCAGTGGCGATGGGGCTTTGATGCATTCAGAATGGATTGCGTTTGCAGGACTTATATCAATGAGATAGCTGAGCAATATGCTCGCTTACGGCCATACCACGTTGAAAGCACGCCATCCCGTCCGATCTGGCAAGTTAAGCAACGTTGGGCCTGGTTAGTACTTGGATCGGAGACGGCTTGGGAATCCCAGGTGTCGTAAGCTTTTGCCTCTTCGGACATTCAATATATGGGCTCAGTGGCGATGGGGCTTTGATGCATTCAGAATGGATTGCGTTTGCAGGACTTATATCAATGAGATAGCTGAGCAATATGCTCGCTTACGGCCATACGACGTTGAAAGCACGCCATCCCGTCCGATCTGGCAAGTTAAGCAACGTTGGGCCTGGTTAGTACTTGGATCGGAGACGGCTTGGGGGTGTCGTAAGCTTTTGCCTCTTCGGACATTCAATATATGGGCTCAGTGGCGATGGGGCTTTGATGCATTCAGAATGGATTGCGTTTGCAGGACTTATATCAATGAGATAGCTGAGCAATATGCTCGCTTACGGCCATACCACGTTGAAAGCACGCCATCCCGTCCGATCTGGCAAGTTAAGCAACGTTGGGCCTGGTTAGTACTTGGATCGGAGACGGCTTGGGAATCCCAGGTGTCGTAAGCTTTTGCCTCTTCGGACATTCAATATATGGGCTCAGTGGCGATGGGGCTTTGATGCATTCAGAATGGATTGCGTTTGCAGGACTTATATCAATGAGATAGCTGAGCAATATGCTCGCTTACGGCCATACCACGTTGAAAGCACGCCATCCCGTCCGATCTGGCAAGTTAAGCAACGTTGGGCCTGGTTAGTACTTGGATCGGAGACGGCTTGGGAATCCCAGGTGTCGTAAGCTTTTGCCTCTTCGGACATTCAATATATGGGCTCAGTGGCGATGGGGCTTTGATGCATTCAGAATGGATTGCGTTTGCAGGACTTATATCAATGAGATAGCTGAGCAATATGCTCGCTTACGGCCATACCACGTTGAAAGCACGCCATCCCGTCCGATCTGACAAGTTAAGCAACGTTGGGCCTGGTTAGTACTTGGATCGGAGACGGCTTGGGAATCCCAGGTGTCGTAAGCTTTTGCCTCTTCGGACATTCAATATATGGGCTCAGTGGCGATGGGGCTTTGATGCATTCAGAATGGATTGCGTTTGCAGGACTTATATCAATGAGATAGCTGAGCAATATGCTCGCTTACGGCCATACCACGTTGAAAGCACGCCATCCCGTCCGATCTGGCAAGTTAAGCAACGTTGGGCCTGGTTAGTACTTGGATCGGAGACGGCTTGGGAATCCCAGGTGTCGTAAGCTTTTGCCTCTTCGGACATTCAATATATGGGCTCAGTGGCGATGGGGCTTTGATGCATTCAGAATGGATTGCGTTTGCAGGACTTATATCAATGAGATAGCTGAGCAATATGCTCGCTTACGGCCATACCACTTGAAAGCACGCCATCCCGTCCGATCTGGCAAGTTAAGCAACGTTGGGCCTGGTTAGTACTTGGATCGGAGACGGCTTGTGAATCCCAGGTGTCGTAAGCTTTTGCCTCTTCGGACATTCAATATATGGGCTCAGTGGCGATGGGGCTTTGATGCATTCAGAATGGATTGCGTTTGCAGGACTTATATCAATGAGATAGCTGAGCAATATGCTCGCTTACGGCCATACCACGTTGAAAGCACGCCATCCCGTCCGATCTGGCAAATTAAGCAACGTTGGGCCTGGTTAGTACTTGGATCGGAGACGGCTTGGGAATCCCAGGTGTCGTAAGCTTTTGCCTCTTCGGACATTCAATATATGGGCTCAATGGCGATGGGGCTTTGATGCATTCAGAATGGATTGCGTTTGCAGGACTTATATCAATGAGATAGCTGAGCAATATGCTCGCTTACGGCCATACCACGTTGAAAGCACGCCATCCCGTCCGATCTGGCAAGTTAAGCAACGTTGGGCCTGGTTAGTACTTGGATCGGAGACGGCTTGGGAATCCCAGGTGTCGTAAGCTTTTGCCTCTTCGGACATTCAATATATGGGCTCAGTGGCGATGGGGCTTTGATGCATTCAGAATGGATTGCGTTTGCAGGACTTATATCAATGAGATAGCTGAGCAATATGCTCGCTTACGGCCATACCACGTTGAAAGCACGCCATCCCGTCCGATCTGACAAGTTAAGCAACGTTGGGCCTGGTTAGTACTTGGATCGGAGACGGCTTGGGAATCCCAGGTGTCGTAAGCTTTTGCCTCTTCGGACATTCAATATATGGGCTCAGTGGCGATGGGGCTTTGATGCATTCAGAATGGATTGCGTTTGCAGGACTTATATCAATGAGATAGCTGAGCAATATGCTCGCTTACGGCCATACCACGTTGAAAGCACGCCATCCCGTCCGATCTGGCAAGTTAAGCAACGTTGGGCCTGGTTAGTACTTGGATCGGAGACGGCTTGGGAATCCCAGGTGTCGTAAGCTTTTGCCTCTTCGGACATTCAATATATGGGCTCAGTGGCGATGGGGCTTTGATGCATTCAGAATGGATTGCGTTTGCAGGACTTATATCAATGAGATAGCTGAGCAATATGCTCGCTTACGGCCATACCACGTTGAAAGCACGCCATCCCGTCCGATCTGGCAAGTTAAGCAACGTTGGGCCTGGTTAGTACTTGGATCGGAGACGGCTTGGGAATCCCAGGTGTCGTAAGCTTTTGCCTCTTCGGACATTCAATATATGGGCTCAGTGGCGATGGGGCTTTGATGCATTCAGAATGGATTGCGTTTGCAGGACTTATATCAATGAGATAGCTGAGCAATATGCTCGCTTACGGCCATACCACGTTGAAAGCACGCCATCCCGTCCGATCTGGCAAGTTAAGCAACGTTGGGCCTGGTTAGTACTTGGATCGGAGACGGCTTGGGAATCCCAGGTGTCGTAAGCTTTTGCCTCTTCGGACATTCAATATATGGGCTCAGTGGCGATGGGGCTTTGATGCATTCAGAATGGATTGCGTTTGCAGGACTTATATCAATGAGATAGCTGAGCAATATGCTCGCTTACGGCCATACCACGTTGAAAGCACGCCATCCCGTCCGATCCGGCAAGTTAAGCAACGTTGGGCCTGGTTAGTACTTGGATCGGAGACGGCTTGGGAATCCCAGGTGTCGTAAGCTTTTGCCTCTTCGGACATTCAATATATGGGCTCAGTGGCGATGGGGCTTTGATGCATTCAGAATGGATTGCGTTTGCAGGACTTATATCAATGAGATAGCTGAGCAATATGCTCGCTTACGGCCATACCACGTTGAAAGCACGCCATCCCGTCCGATCTGGCAAGTTAAGCAACGTTGGGCCTGGTTAGTACTTGGATCGGAGACGGCTTGGGAATCCCAGGTGTCGTAAGCTTTTGCCTCTTCGGACATTCAATATATGGGCTCAGTGGCGATGGGGCTTTGATGCATTCAGAATGGATTGCGTTTGCAGGACTTATATCAATGAGATAGCTGAGCAATATGCTCGCTTACGGCCATACCACGTTGAAAGCACGCCATCCCGTCCGATCTGGCAAGTTAAGCAACGTTGGGCCTGGTTAGTACTTGGATCGGAGACGGCTTGGGAATCCCAGGTGTCGTAAGCTTTTGCCTCTTCGGACATTCAATATATGGGCTCAGTGGCGATGGGGCTTTGATGCATTCAGAATGGATTGCGTTTGCAGGACTTATATCAATGAGATAGCTGAGCAATATGCTCGCTTACGGCCATACCACGTTGAAAGCACGCCATCCCGTCCGATCTGGCAAGTTAAGCAACGTTGGGCCTGGTTAGTACTTGGATCGGAGACGGCTTGGGAATCCCAGGTGTCGTAAGCTTTTGCCTCTTCGGACATTCAATATATGGGCTCAGTGGCGATGGGGCTTTGATGCATTCAGAATGGATTGCGTTTGCAGGACTTATATCAATGAGATAGCTGAGCAATATGCTCGCTTACGGCCATACCACGTTGAAAGCACGCCATCCCGTCCGATCTGGCAAGTTAAGCAACGTTGGGCCTGGTTAGTACTTGGATCGGAGACGGCTTGGGAATCCCAGGTGTCGTAAGCTTTTGCCTCTTCGGACATTCAATATATGGGCTCAGTGGCGATGGGGCTTTGATGCATTCAGAATGGATTGCGTTTGCAGGACTTATATCAATGAGATAGCTGAGCAATATGCTCGCTTACGGCCATACCACGTTGAAAGCACGCCATCCCGTCCGATCTTGCAAGTTAAGCAACGTTGGGCTTGGTTAGTACTTGGATCGGAGACGGCTTGGGAATCCCAGGTGTCGTAAGCTTTTGCCTCTTCGGACATTCAATATATGGGCTCAGTGGCGATGGGGCTTTGATGCATTCAGAATGGATTGCGTTTGCAGGACTTATATCAATGAGATAGCTGAGCAATATGCTCGCTTACGGCCATACCACGTTGAAAGCACGCCATCCCGTCCGATCTGGCAAGTTAAGCAACGTTGGGCCTGGTTAGTACTTGGATCGGAGACGGCTTGGGAATCCCAGGTGTCGTAAGCTTTTGCCTCTTCGGACATTCAATATATGGGCTCAGTGGCGATGGGGCTTTGATGCATTCAGAATGGATTGCGTTTGCAGGACTTATATCAATGAGATAGCTGAGCAATATGCTCGCTTACGGCCATACCACGTTGAAAGCACGCCATCCCGTCCGATCTGGCAAGTTAAGCAACGTTGGGCCTGGTTAGTACTTGGATCGGAGACGGCTTGGGAATCCCAGGTGTCGTAAGCTTTTGCCTCTTCGGACATTCAATATATGGGCTCAGTGGCGATGGGGCTTTGATGCATTCAGAATGGATTGCGTTTGCAGGACTTATATCAATGAGATAGCTGAGCAATATGCTCGCTTACGGCCATACCACGTTGAAAGCACGCCATCCCGTCCGATCTGGCAAGTTAAGCAACGTTGGGCCTGGTTAGTACTTGGATCGGAGACGGCTTGGGAATCCCAGGTGTCGTAAGCTTTTGCCTCTTCGGACATTCAATATATGGGCTCAGTGGCGATGGGGCTTTGATGCATTCAGAATGGATTGCGTTTGCAGGACTTATATCAATGAGATAGCTGAGCAATATGCTCGCTTACGGCCATACCACGTTGAAAGCACGCCATCCCGTCCGATCTTGCAAGTTAAGCAACGTTGGGCCTGGTTAGTACTTGGATCGGAGACGGCTTGGGAATCCCAGGTGTCGTAAGCTTTTGCCTCTTCGGACATTCAATATATGGGCTCAGTGGCGATGGGGCTTTGATGCATTCAGAATGGATTGCGTTTGCAGGACTTATATCAATGAGATAGCTGAGCAATATGCTCGCTTACGGCCATACCACGTTGAAAGCACGCCATCCCGTCCGATCTGGCAAGTTAAGCAACGTTGGGCCTGGTTAGTACTTGGATCGGAGACGGCTTGGGAATCCCAGGTGTCGTAAGCTTTTGCCTCTTCGGACATTCAATATATGGGCTCAGTGGCGATGGGGCTTTGATGCATTCAGAATGGATTGCGTTTGCAGGACTTATATCAATGAGATAGCTGAGCAATATGCTCGCTTACGGCCATACCACGTTGAAAGCACGCCATCCCGTCCGATCTGGCAAGTTAAGCAACTTTGGGCCTGGTTAGTACTTGGATCGGAGACGGCTTGGGAATCCCAGGTGTCGTAAGCTTTTGCCTCTTCGGACATTCAATATATGGGCTCAGTGGCGATGGGGCTTTGATGCATTCAGAATGGATTGCGTTTGCAGGACTTATATCAATGAGATAGCTGAGCAATATGCTCGCTTACGGCCATACCACGTTGAAAGCACGCCATCCCGTCCGATCTGGCAAGTTAAGCAACGTTGGGCCTGGTTAGTACTTGGATCGGAGACGGCTTGGGAATCCCAGGTGTCGTAAGCTTTTGCCTCTTCGGACATTCAATATATGGGCTCAGTGGCGATGGGGCTTTGATGCATTCAGAATGGATTGCGTTTGCAGGACTTATATCAATGAGATAGCTGAGCAATATGCTCGCTTACGGCCATACCACGTTGAAAGCACGCCATCCCGTCCGATCTGGCAAGTTAAGCAACGTTGGGCCTGGTTAGTACTAGGATCGGAGACGGCTTGGGAATCCCAGGTGTCGTAAGCTTTTGCCTCTTCGGACATTCAATATATGGGCTCAGTGGCGATGGGGCTTTGATGCATTCAGAATGGATTGCGTTTGCAGGACTTATATCAATGAGATAGCTGAGCAATATGCTCGCTTACGGCCATACCACGTTGAAAGCACGCCATCCCGTCCGATCTGGCAAGTTAAGCAACGTTGGGCCTGGTTAGTACTTGGATCGGAGACGGCTTGGGAATCCCAGGTGTCGTAAGCTTTTGCCTCTTCGGACATTCAATATATGGGCTCAGTGGCGATGGGGCTTTGATGCATTCAGAATGGATTGCGTTTGCAGGACTTATATCAATGAGATAGCTGAGCAATATGCTCGCTTACGGCCATACCACGTTGAAAGCACGCCATCCCGTCCGATCTGGCAAGTTAAGCAACGTTGGGCCTGGTTAGTACTTGGATCGGAGACGGCTTGGGAATCCCAGGTGTCGTAAGCTTTTGCCTCTTCGGACATTCAATATATGGGCTCAGTGGCGATGGGGCTTTGATGCATTCAGAATGGATTGCGTTTGCAGGACTTATATCAATGAGATAGCTGAGCAATATGCTCGCTTACGGCCATACCACGTTGAAAGCACGCCATCCCGTCCGATCTTGCAAGTTAAGCAACGTTGGGCCTGGTTAGTACTTGGATCGGAGACGGCTTGGGAATCCCAGGTGTCGTAAGCTTTTGCCTCTTCGGACATTCAATATATGGGCTCAGTGGCGATGGGGCTTTGATGCATTCAGAATGGATTGCGTTTGCAGGACTTATATCAATGAGATAGCTGAGCAATATGCTCGCTTACGGCCATACCACGTTGAAAGCACGCCATCCCGTCCGATCTGGCAAGTTAAGCAACGTTGGGCCTGGTTAGTACTTGGATCGGAGACGGCTTGGGAATCCCAGGTGTCGTAAGCTTTTGCCTCTTCGGACATTCAATATATGGGCTCAGTGGCGATGGGGCTTTGATGCATTCAGAATGGATTGCGTTTGCAGGACTTATATCAATGAGATAGCTGAGCAATATGCTCGCTTACGGCCATACCACGTTGAAAGCACGCCATCCCGTCCGATCTGGCAAGTTAAGCAACGTTGGGCCTGGTTAGTACTTGGATCGGAGACGGCTTGGGAATCCCAGGTGTCGTAAGCTTTTGCCTCTTCGGACATTCAATATATGGGCTCAGTGGCGATGGGGCTTTGATGCATTCAGAATGGATTGCGTTTGCAGGACTTATATCAATGAGATAGCTGAGCAATATGCTCGCTTACGGCCATACCACGTTGAAAGCACGCCATCCCGTCCGATCTGGCAAGTTAAGCAACGTTGGGCCTGGTTAGTACTTGGATCGGAGACGGCTTGGGAATCCCAGGTGTCGTAAGCTTTTGCCTCTTCGGACATTCAATATATGGGCTCAGTGGCGATGGGGCTTTGATGCATTCAGAATGGATTGCGTTTGCAGGACTTATATCAATGAGATAGCTGAGCAATATGCTCGCTTACGGCCATACCACGTTGAAAGCACGCCATCCCGTCCGATCTTGCAAGTTAAGCAACGTTGGGCCTGGTTAGTACTTGGATCGGAGACGGCTTGGGAATCCCAGGTGTCGTAAGCTTTTGCCTCTTCGGACATTCAATATATGGGCTCAGTGGCGATGGGGCTTTGATGCATTCAGAATGGATTGCGTTTGCAGGACTTATATCAATGAGATAGCTGAGCAATATGCTCGCTTACGGCCATACCACGTTGAAAGCACGCCATCCCGTCCGATCTGGCAAGTTAAGCAACGTTGGGCCTGGTTAGTACTTGGATCGGAGACGGCTTGTGAATCCCAGGTGTCGTAAGCTTTTGCCTCTTCGGACATTCAATATATGGGCTCAGTGGCGATGGGGCTTTGATGCATTCAGAATGGATTGCGTTTGCAGGACTTATATCAATGAGATAGCTGAGCAATATGCTCGCTTACGGCCATACCACGTTGAAAGCACGCCATCCCGTCCGATCTGGCAAGTTAAGCAACGTTGGGCCTGGTTAGTACTTGGATCGGAGACGGCTTGGGAATCCCAGGTGTCGTAAGCTTTTGCCTCTTCGGACATTCAATATATGGGCTCAGTGGCGATGGGGCTTTGATGCATTCAGAATGGATTGCGTTTGCAGGACTTATATCAATGAGATAGCTGAGCAATATGCTCGCTTACGGCCATACCACGTTGAAAGCACGCCATCCCGTCCGATCTGGCAAGTTAAGCAACGTTGGGCCTGGTTAGTACTTGGATCGGAGACGGCTTGGGAATCCCAGGTGTCGTAAGCTTTTGCCTCTTCGGACATTCAATATATGGGCTCAGTGGCGATGGGGCTTTGATGCATTCAGAATGGATTGCGTTTGCAGGACTTATATCAATGAGATAGCTGAGCAATATGCTCGCTTACGGCCATACCACGTTGAAAGCACGCCATCCCGTCCGATCTGGCAAGTTAAGCAACGTTGGGCCTGGTTAGTACTTGGATCGGAGACGGCTTGGGAATCCCAGGTGTCGTAAGCTTTTGCCTCTTCGGACATTCAATATATGGGCTCAATGGCGATGGGGCTTTGATGCATTCAGAATGGATTGCGTTTGCAGGACTTATATCAATGAGATAGCTGAGCAATATGCTCGCTTACGGCCATACCACGTTGAAAGCACGCCATCCCGTCCGATCTGGCAAGTTAAGCAACGTTGGGCCTGGTTAGTACTTGGATCGGAGACGGCTTGGGAATCCCAGGTGTCGTAAGCTTTTGCCTCTTCGGACATTCAATATATGGGCTCAGTGGCGATGGGGCTTTGATGCATTCAGAATGGATTGCGTTTGCAGGACTTATATCAATGAGATAGCTGAGCAATATGCTCGCTTACGGCCATACCACGTTGAAAGCACGCCATCCCGTCCGATCTGACAAGTTAAGCAACGTTGGGCCTGGTTAGTACTTGGATCGGAGACGGCTTGGGAATCCCAGGTGTCGTAAGCTTTTGCCTCTTCGGACATTCAATATATGGGCTCAGTGGCGATGGGGCTTTGATGCATTCAGAATGGATTGCGTTTGCAGGACTTATATCAATGAGATAGCTGAGCAATATGCTCGCTTACGGCCATACCACGTTGAAAGCACGCCATCCCGTCCGATCTGGCAAGTTAAGCAACGTTGGGCCTGGTTAGTACTTGGATCGGAGACGGCTTGTGAATCCCAGGTGTCGTAAGCTTTTGCCTCTTCGGACATTCAATATATGGGCTCAGTGGCGATGGGGCTTTGATGCATTCAGAATGGATTGCGTTTGCAGGACTTATATCAATGAGATAGCTGAGCAATATGCTCGCTTACGGCCATACCACGTTGAAAGCACGCCATCCCGTCCGATCTGGCAAGTTAAGCAACGTTGGGCCTGGTTAGTACTTGGATCGGAGACGGCTTGTGAATCCCAGGTGTCGTAAGCTTTTGCCTCTTCGGACATTCAATATATGGGCTCAGTGGCGATGGGGCTTTGATGCATTCAGAATGGATTGCGTTTGCAGGACTTATATCAATGAGATAGCTGAGCAATATGCTCGCTTACGGCCATACCACGTTGAAAGCACGCCATCCCGTCCGATCTGGCAAGTTAAGCAACGTTGGGCCTGGTTAGTACTTGGATCGGAGACGGCTTGGGAATCCCAGGTGTCGTAAGCTTTTGCCTCTTCGGACATTCAATATATGGGCTCAGTGGCGATGGGGCTTTGATGCATTCAGAATGGATTGCGTTTGCAGGACTTATATCAATGAGATAGCTGAGCAATATGCTCGCTTACGGCCATACCACGTTGAAAGCACGCCATCCCGTCCGATCTGGCAAGTTAAGCAACGTTGGGCCTGGTTAGTACTTGGATCGGAGACGGCTTGGGAATCCCAGGTGTCGTAAGCTTTTGCCTCTTCGGACATTCAATATATGGGCTCAGTGGCGATGGGGCTTTGATGCATTCAGAATGGATTGCGTTTGCAGGACTTATATCAATGAGATAGCTGAGCAATATGCTCGCTTACGGCCATACCACGTTGAAAGCACGCCATCCCGTCCGATCTGGCAAGTTAAGCAACGTTGGGCCTGGTTAGTACTTGGATCGGAGACGGCTTGGGAATCCCAGGTGTCGTAAGCTTTTGCCTCTTCGGACATTCAATATATGGGCTCAGTGGCGATGGGGCTTTGATGCATTCAGAATGGATTGCGTTTGCAGGACTTATATCAATGAGATAGCTGAGCAATATGCTCGCTTACGGCCATACCACGTTGAAAGCACGCCATCCCGTCCGATCTTGCAAGTTAAGCAACGTTGGGCCTGGTTAGTACTTGGATCGGAGACGGCTTGGGAATCCCAGGTGTCGTAAGCTTTTGCCTCTTCGGACATTCAATATATGGGCTCAGTGGCGATGGGGCTTTGATGCATTCAGAATGGATTGCGTTTGCAGGACTTATATCAATGAGATAGCTGAGCAATATGCTCGCTTACGGCCATACCACGTTGAAAGCACGCCATCCCGTCCGATCTGGCAAGTTAAGCAACGTTGGGCCTGGTTAGTACTTGGATCGGAGACGGCTTGTGAATCCCAGGTGTCGTAAGCTTTTGCCTCTTCGGACATTCAATATATGGGCTCAGTGGCGATGGGGCTTTGATGCATTCAGAATGGATTGCGTTTGCAGGACTTATATCAATGAGATAGCTGAGCAATATGCTCGCTTACGGCCATACCACGTTGAAAGCACGCCATCCCGTCCGATCTGGCAAGTTAAGCAACGTTGGGCCTGGTTAGTACTTGGATCGGAGACGGCTTGGGAATCCCAGGTGTCGTAAGCTTTTGCCTCTTCGGACATTCAATATATGGGCTCAGTGGCGATGGGGCTTTGATGCATTCAGAATGGATTGCGTTTGCAGGACTTATATCAATGAGATAGCTGAGCAATATGCTCGCTTACGGCCATACCACGTTGAAAGCACGCCATCCCGTCCGATCTGGCAAGTTAAGCAACGTTGGGCCTGGTTAGTACTTGGATCGGAGACGGCTTGGGAATCCCAGGTGTCGTAAGCTTTTGCCTCTTCGGACATTCAATATATGGGCTCAGTGGCGATGGGGCTTTGATGCATTCAGAATGGATTGCGTTTGCAGGACTTATATCAATGAGATAGCTGAGCAATATGCTCGCTTACGGCCATACCACGTTGAAAGCACGCCATCCCGTCCGATCTGGCAAGTTAAGCAACGTTGGGCCTGGTTAGTACTTGGATCGGAGACGGCTTGGGAATCCCAGGTGTCGTAAGCTTTTGCCTCTTCGGACATTCAATATATGGGCTCAATGGCGATGGGGCTTTGATGCATTCAGAATGGATTGCGTTTGCAGGACTTATATCAATGAGATAGCTGAGCAATATGCTCGCTTACGGCCATACCACGTTGAAAGCACGCCATCCCGTCCGATCTGGCAAGTTAAGCAACGTTGGGCCTGGTTAGTACTTGGATCGGAGACGGCTTGGGAATCCCAGGTGTCGTAAGCTTTTGCCTCTTCGGACATTCAATATATGGGCTCAGTGGCGATGGGGCTTTGATGCATTCAGAATGGATTGCGTTTGCAGGACTTATATCAATGAGATAGCTGAGCAATATGCTCGCTTACGGCCATACCACGTTGAAAGCACGCCATCCCGTCCGATCTGACAAGTTAAGCAACGTTGGGCCTGGTTAGTACTTGGATCGGAGACGGCTTGGGAATCCCAGGTGTCGTAAGCTTTTGCCTCTTCGGACATTCAATATATGGGCTCAGTGGCGATGGGGCTTTGATGCATTCAGAATGGATTGCGTTTGCAGGACTTATATCAATGAGATAGCTGAGCAATATGCTCGCTTACGGCCATACCACGTTGAAAGCACGCCATCCCGTCCGATCTGGCAAGTTAAGCAACGTTGGGCCTGGTTAGTACTTGGATCGGAGACGGCTTGTGAATCCCAGGTGTCGTAAGCTTTTGCCTCTTCGGACATTCAATATATGGGCTCAGTGGCGATGGGGCTTTGATGCATTCAGAATGGATTGCGTTTGCAGGACTTATATCAATGAGATAGCTGAGCAATATGCTCGCTTACGGCCATACCACGTTGAAAGCACGCCATCCCGTCCGATCTGGCAAGTTAAGCAACGTTGGGCCTGGTTAGTACTTGGATCGGAGACGGCTTGTGAATCCCAGGTGTCGTAAGCTTTTGCCTCTTCGGACATTCAATATATGGGCTCAGTGGCGATGGGGCTTTGATGCATTCAGAATGGATTGCGTTTGCAGGACTTATATCAATGAGATAGCTGAGCAATATGCTCGCTTACGGCCATACCACGTTGAAAGCACGCCATCCCGTCCGATCTGGCAAGTTAAGCAACGTTGGGCCTGGTTAGTACTTGGATCGGAGACGGCTTGGGAATCCCAGGTGTCGTAAGCTTTTGCCTCTTCGGACATTCAATATATGGGCTCAGTGGCGATGGGGCTTTGATGCATTCAGAATGGATTGCGTTTGCAGGACTTATATCAATGAGATAGCTGAGCAATATGCTCGCTTACGGCCATACCACGTTGAAAGCACGCCATCCCGTCCGATCTGGCAAGTTAAGCAACGTTGGGCCTGGTTAGTACTTGGATCGGAGACGGCTTGGGAATCCCAGGTGTCGTAAGCTTTTGCCTCTTCGGACATTCAATATATGGGCTCAGTGGCGATGGGGCTTTTTGATGCATTCAGAATGGATTGCGTTTGCAGGACTTATATCAATGAGATAGCTGAGCAATATGCTCGCTTACGGCCATACCACGTTGAAAGCACGCCATCCCGTCCGATCTGGCAAGTTAAGCAACGTTGGGCCTGGTTAGTACTTGGATCGGAGACGGCTTGGGAATCCCAGGTGTCGTAAGCTTTTGCCTCTTCGGACATTCAATATATGGGCTCAGTGGCGATGGGGCTTTGATGCATTCAGAATGGATTGCGTTTGCAGGACTTATATCAATGAGATAGCTGAGCAATATGCTCGCTTACGGCCATACCACGTTGAAAGCACGCCATCCCGTCCGATCTGGCAAGTTAAGCAACGTTGGGCCTGGTTAGTACTTGGATCGGAGACGGCTTGGGAATCCCAGGTGTCGTAAGCTTTTGCCTCTTCGGACATTCAATATATGGGCTCAGTGGCGATGGGGCTTTGATGCATTCAGAATGGATTGCGTTTGCAGGACTTATATCAATGAGATAGCTGAGCAATATGCTCGCTTACGGCCATACCACGTTGAAAGCACGCCATCCCGTCCGATCTGGCAAGTTAAGCAACGTTGGGCCTGGTTAGTACTTGGATCGGAGACGGCTTGGGAATCCCAGGTGTCGTAAGCTTTTGCCTCTTCGGACATTCAATATATGGGCTCAGTGGCGATGGGGCTTTGATGCATTCAGAATGGATTGCGTTTGCAGGACTTATATCAATGAGATAGCTGAGCAATATGCTCGCTTACGGCCATACCACGTTGAAAGCACGCCATCCCGTCCGATCTGGCAAGTTAAGCAACGTTGGGCCTGGTTAGTACTTGGATCGGAGACGGCTTGGGAATCCCAGGTGTCGTAAGCTTTTGCCTCTTCGGACATTCAATATATGGGCTCAGTGGCGATGGGGCTTTGATGCATTCAGAATGGATTGCGTTTGCAGGACTTATATCAATGAGATAGCTGAGCAATATGCTCGCTTACGGCCATACCACGTTGAAAGCACGCCATCCCGTCCGATCTGGCAAGTTAAGCAACGTTGGGCCTGGTTAGTACTTGGATCGGAGACGGCTTGGGAATCCCAGGTGTCGTAAGCTTTTGCCTCTTCGGACATTCAATATATGGGCTCAGTGGCGATGGGGCTTTGATGCATTCAGAATGGATTGCGTTTGCAGGACTTATATCAATGAGATAGCTGAGCAATATGCTCGCTTACGGCCATACCACGTTGAAAGCACGCCATCCCGTCCGATCTGGCAAGTTAAGCAACGTTGGGCCTGGTTAGTACTTGGATCGGAGACGGCTTGGGAATCCCAGGTGTCGTAAGCTTTTGCCTCTTCGGACATTCAATATATGGGCTCAGTGGCGATGGGGCTTTGATGCATTCAGAATGGATTGCGTTTGCAGGACTTATATCAATGAGATAGCTGAGCAATATGCTCGCTTACGGCCATACCACGTTGAAAGCACGCCATCCCGTCCGATCTGGCAAGTTAAGCAACGTTGGGCCTGGTTAGTACTTGGATCGGAGACGGCTTGGGAATCCCAGGTGTCGTAAGCTTTTGCCTCTTCGGACATTCAATATATGGGCTCAGTGGCGATGGGGCTTTGATGCATTCAGAATGGATTGCGTTTGCAGGACTTATATCAATGAGATAGCTGAGCAATATGCTCGCTTACGGCCATACCACGTTGAAAGCACGCCATCCCCGTCCGATCTGGCAAGTTAAGCAACGTTGGGCCTGGTTAGTACTTGGATCGGAGACGGCTTGGGAATCCCAGGTGTCGTAAGCTTTTGCCTCTTCGGACATTCAATATATGGGCTCAGTGGCGATGGGGCTTTGATGCATTCAGAATGGATTGCGTTTGCAGGACTTATATCAATGAGATAGCTGAGCAATATGCTCGCTTACGGCCATACCACGTTGAAAGCACGCCATCCCGTCCGATCTGGCAAGTTAAGCAACGTTGGGCCTGGTTAGTACTTGGATCGGAGACGGCTTGGGAATCCCAGGTGTCGTAAGCTTTTGCCTCTTCGGACATTCAATATATGGGCTCAGTGGCGATGGGGCTTTGATGCATTCAGAATGGATTGCGTTTGCAGGACTTATATCAATGAGATAGCTGAGCAATATGCTCGCTTACGGCCATACCACGTTGAAAGCACGCCATCCCGTCCCGATCTGGCAAGTTAAGCAACGTTGGGCCTGGTTAGTACTTGGATCGGAGACGGCTTGGGAATCCCAGGTGTCGTAAGCTTTTGCCTCTTCGGACATTCAATATATGGGCTCAGTGGCGATGGGGCTTTGATGCATTCAGAATGGATTGCGTTTGCAGGACTTATATCAATGAGATAGCTGAGCAATATGCTCGCTTACGGCCATACCACGTTGAAAGCACGCCATCCCGTCCGATCTGGCAAGTTAAGCAACGTTGGGCCTGGTTAGTACTTGGATCGGAGACGGCTTGGGAATCCCAGGTGTCGTAAGCTTTTGCCTCTTCGGACATTCAATATATGGGCTCAGTGGCGATGGGGCTTTGATGCATTCAGAATGGATTGCGTTTGCAGGACTTATATCAATGAGATAGCTGAGCAATATGCTCGCTTACGGCCATACCACGTTGAAAGCACGCCATCCCGTCCGATCTGGCAAGTTAAGCAACGTTGGGCCTGGTTAGTACTTGGATCGGAGACGGCTTGGGAATCCCAGGTGTCGTAAGCTTTTGCCTCTTCGGACATTCAATATATGGGCTCAGTGGCGATGGGGCTTTGATGCATTCAGAATGGATTGCGTTTGCAGGACTTATATCAATGAGATAGCTGAGCAATATGCTCGCTTACGGCCATACCACGTTGAAAGCACGCCATCCCGTCCGATCTGGCAAGTTAAGCAACGTTGGGCCTGGTTAGTACTTGGATCGGAGACGGCTTGGGAATCCCAGGTGTCGTAAGCTTTTGCCTCTTCGGACATTCAATATATGGGCTCAGTGGCGATGGGGCTTTGATGCATTCAGAATGGATTGCGTTTGCAGGACTTATATCAATGAGATAGCTGAGCAATATGCTCGCTTACGGCCATACCACGTTGAAAGCACGCCATCCCGTCCGATCTGGCAAGTTAAGCAACGTTGGGCCTGGTTAGTACTTGGATCGGAGACGGCTTGGGAATCCCAGGTGTCGTAAGCTTTTGCCTCTTCGGACATTCAATATATGGGCTCAGTGGCGATGGGGCTTTGATGCATTCAGAATGGATTGCGTTTGCAGGACTTATATCAATGAGATAGCTGAGCAATATGCTCGCTTACGGCCATACCACGTTGAAAGCACGCCATCCCGTCCGATCTGGCAAGTTAAGCAACGTTGGGCCTGGTTAGTACTTGGATCGGAGACGGCTTGGGAATCCCAGGTGTCGTAAGCTTTTTGCCTCTTCGGACATTCAATATATGGGCTCAGTGGCGATGGGGCTTTGATGCATTCAGAATGGATTGCGTTTGCAGGACTTATATCAATGAGATAGCTGAGCAATATGCTCGCTTACGGCCATACCACGTTGAAAGCACGCCATCCCGTCCGATCTGGCAAGTTAAGCAACGTTGGGCCTGGTTAGTACTTGGATCGGAGACGGCTTGGGAATCCCAGGTGTCGTAAGCTTTTGCCTCTTCGGACATTCAATATATGGGCTCAGTGGCGATGGGGCTTTGATGCATTCAGAATGGATTGCGTTTGCAGGACTTATATCAATGAGATAGCTGAGCAATATGCTCGCTTACGGCCATACCACGTTGAAAGCACGCCATCCCGTCCGATCTGGCAAGTTAAGCAACGTTGGGCCTGGTTAGTACTTGGATCGGAGACGGCTTGGGAATCCCAGGTGTCGTAAGCTTTTGCCTCTTCGGACATTCAATATATGGGCTCAGTGGCGATGGGGCTTTGATGCATTCAGAATGGATTGCGTTTGCAGGACTTATATCAATGAGATAGCTGAGCAATATGCTCGCTTACGGCCATACCACGTTGAAAGCACGCCATCCCGTCCGATCTGGCAAGTTAAGCAACGTTGGGCCTGGTTAGTACTTGGATCGGAGACGGCTTGGGAATCCCAGGTGTCGTAAGCTTTTGCCTCTTCGGACATTCAATATATGGGCTCAGTGGCGATGGGGCTTTGATGCATTCAGAATGGATTGCGTTTGCAGGACTTATATCAATGAGATAGCTGAGCAATATGCTCGCTTACGGCCATACCACGTTGAAAGCACGCCATCCCGTCCGATCTGGCAAGTTAAGCAACGTTGGGCCTGGTTAGTACTTGGATCGGAGACGGCTTGGGAATCCCAGGTGTCGTAAGCTTTTGCCTCTTCGGACATTCAATATATGGGCTCAGTGGCGATGGGGCTTTGATGCATTCAGAATGGATTGCGTTTGCAGGACTTATATCAATGAGATAGCTGAGCAATATGCTCGCTTACGGCCATACCACGTTGAAAGCACGCCATCCCGTCCGATCTGGCAAGTTAAGCAACGTTGGGCCTGGTTAGTACTTGGATCGGAGACGGCTTGGGAATCCCAGGTGTCGTAAGCTTTTGCCTCTTCGGACATTCAATATATGGGCTCAGTGGCGATGGGGCTTTGATGCATTCAGAATGGATTGCGTTTGCAGGACTTATATCAATGAGATAGCTGAGCAATATGCTCGCTTACGGCCATACCACGTTGAAAGCACGCCATCCCGTCCGATCTTGCAAGTTAAGCAACGTTGGGCCTGGTTAGTACTTGGATCGGAGACGGCTTGGGAATCCCAGGTGTCGTAAGCTTTTGCCTCTTCGGACATTCAATATATGGGCTCAGTGGCGATGGGGCTTTGATGCATTCAGAATGGATTGCGTTTGCAGGACTTATATCAATGAGATAGCTGAGCAATATGCTCGCTTACGGCCATACCACGTTGAAAGCACGCCATCCCGTCCGATCTGGCAAGTTAAGCAACGTTGGGCCTGGTTAGTACTTGGATCGGAGACGGCTTGGGAATCCCAGGTGTCGTAAGCTTTTGCCTCTTCGGACATTCAATATATGGGCTCAGTGGCGATGGGGCTTTGATGCATTCAGAATGGATTGCGTTTGCAGGACTTATATCAATGAGATAGCTGAGCAATATGCTCGCTTACGGCCATACCACGTTGAAAGCACGCCATCCCGTCCGATCTGGCAAGTTAAGCAACGTTGGGCCTGGTTAGTACTTGGATCGGAGACGGCTTGGGAATCCCAGGTGTCGTAAGCTTTTGCCTCTTCGGACATTCAATATATGGGCTCAGTGGCGATGGGGCTTTGATGCATTCAGAATGGATTGCGTTTGCAGGACTTATATCAATGAGATAGCTGAGCAATATGCTCGCTTACGGCCATACCACGTTGAAAGCACGCCATCCCGTCCGATCTGGCAAGTTAAGCAACGTTGGGCCTGGTTAGTACTTGGATCGGAGACGGCTTGGGAATCCCAGGTGTCGTAAGCTTTTGCCTCTTCGGACATTCAATATATGGGCTCAGTGGCGATGGGGCTTTGATGCATTCAGAATGGATTGCGTTTGCAGGACTTATATCAATGAGATAGCTGAGCAATATGCTCGCTTACGGCCATACCACGTTGAAAGCACGCCATCCCCGTCCGATCTGGCAAGTTAAGCAACGTTGGGCCTGGTTAGTACTTGGATCGGAGACGGCTTGGGAATCCCAGGTGTCGTAAGCTTTTGCCTCTTCGGACATTCAATATATGGGCTCAGTGGCGATGGGGCTTTGATGCATTCAGAATGGATTGCGTTTGCAGGACTTATATCAATGAGATAGCTGAGCAATATGCTCGCTTACGGCCATACCACGTTGAAAGCACGCCATCCCGTCCGATCTGGCAAGTTAAGCAACGTTGGGCCTGGTTAGTACTTGGATCGGAGACGGCTTGGGAATCCCAGGTGTCGTAAGCTTTTGCCTCTTCGGACATTCAATATATGGGCTCAGTGGCGATGGGGCTTTGATGCATTCAGAATGGATTGCGTTTGCAGGACTTATATCAATGAGATAGCTGAGCAATATGCTCGCTTACGGCCATACCACGTTGAAAGCACGCCATCCCGTCCGATCTGGCAAGTTAAGCAACGTTGGGCCTGGTTAGTACTTGGATCGGAGACGGCTTGGGAATCCCAGGTGTCGTAAGCTTTTGCCTCTTCGGACATTCAATATATGGGCTCAGTGGCGATGGGGCTTTGATGCATTCAGAATGGATTGCGTTTGCAGGACTTATATCAATGAGATAGCTGAGCAATATGCTCGCTTACGGCCATACCACGTTGAAAGCACGCCATCCCGTCCGATCTGGCAAGTTAAGCAACGTTGGGCCTGGTTAGTACTTGGATCGGAGACGGCTTGGGAATCCCAGGTGTCGTAAGCTTTTGCCTCTTCGGACATTCAATATATGGGCTCAGTGGCGATGGGGCTTTGATGCATTCAGAATGGATTGCGTTTGCAGGACTTATATCAATGAGATAGCTGAGCAATATGCTCGCTTACGGCCATACCACGTTGAAAGCACGCCATCCCGTCCGATCTGGCAAGTTAAGCAACGTTGGGCCTGGTTAGTACTTGGATCGGAGACGGCTTGGGAATCCCAGGTGTCGTAAGCTTTTGCCTCTTCGGATCATTCAATATATGGGCTCAGTGGCGATGGGGCTTTGATGCATTCAGAATGGATTGCGTTTGCAGGACTTATATCAATGAGATAGCTGAGCAATATGCTCGCTTACGGCCATACCACGTTGAAAGCACGCCATCCCGTCCGATCTGGCAAGTTAAGCAACGTTGGGCCTGGTTAGTACTTGGATCGGAGACGGCTTGGGAATCCCAGGTGTCGTAAGCTTTTGCCTCTTCGGACATTCAATATATGGGCTCAGTGGCGATGGGGCTTTGATGCATTCAGAATGGATTGCGTTTGCAGGACTTATATCAATGAGATAGCTGAGCAATATGCTCGCTTACGGCCATACCACGTTGAAAGCACGCCATCCCGTCCGATCTGGCAAGTTAAGCAACGTTGGGCCTGGTTAGTACTTGGATCGGAGACGGCTTGGGAATCCCAGGTGTCGTAAGCTTTTGCCTCTTCGGACATTCAATATATGGGCTCAGTGGCGATGGGGCTTTGATGCATTCAGAATGGATTGCGTTTGCAGGACTTATATCAATGAGATAGCTGAGCAATATGCTCGCTTACGGCCATACCTACACGTTGAAAGCACGCCATCCCGTCCGATCTGGCAAGTTAAGCAACGTTGGGCCTGGTTAGTACTTGGATCGGAGACGGCTTGGGAATCCCAGGTGTCGTAAGCTTTTGCCTCTTCGGACATTCAATATATGGGCTCAGTGGCGATGGGGCTTTGATGCATTCAGAATGGATTGCGTTTGCAGGACTTATATCAATGAGATAGGCTGAGAGGTACTCTGCGTTGATACCACTGCTT